GCCAGCGACCTGAACGATTCAATTTTTCCCTGATATCCAGAGCAGTAAAGCAAATTCACGAATGGCGTCCGAAATTCACGAATGGCGTCCGAATGGAAGTCAGTGTTATGTTTTAATGCTTGTCTCTACGGAGGATATCTCCTATAGACCCTAGATCATACTTCCCGCTCGTCTTCAAACTTGTGGTATATCTGATGCTGCAGCATGGTTAACGGGAGATTAAATGCCAAAGAGTAGCGATTTGGCGCTACCTCAAGCTTAGTGCTAGGAGTTAAGCGATCTGCGGTGATTCGCATACAAACTTACGAAGTATTTCGCAGTATTTAAAAATGTGCCTTTCCCTTTCAACCTCTCCGCTTCCCTCGAAATATATATTGAATTCACGCGCATTTTGTCTTCATGCATACAGTTTATATCGCCGCCCTCAGTCGGTAAGGTCTCAAGAGGAATGGAATATGTCCACCCGCATCACAGCCGAGGGTGAGCTCATTCCGCCCCTTCTGACACCCTTCCCCCCGAGTGGTTGCTATTCAGACTATATCAACGAGACGTAGCGCGCTCAAAGCCTGAAAGCTCGCGACTACCAGTCAGTTATAAGCCCTGCGATAAGTGCGATTGATTTGTACGACATACACATACAGGGGCGGGCCAAAAAACCCTTTGTCTGAAAAACATATCAATAAAGAATACGCAGCTTAGACAGAAGACGTGTACACGCGAACCAGGGCAAAAGATACTCGAGTTGTCCTGTTCTCAAGAAGAAGCAAGCTCCATCACCTTCATGTACCCCTAAATATGAAGCCATCTGCAATCGCAGCCGAATTGAAGGAGGTCTATGGAATCTATGTCACCTCCAAACAGATGCGGAACTTCTTGTATCGACATGGACAACTACTGGAGACCGGCACTCTTGATCTGGAAGACCTCCAACATCGAGCAGCTCCGACAACGTCGCTACGGTCCAGGATATCATCTTCACCGCAGTCGCCAAGGCGCGAGTTGATGGTATGGACCGGAAGTTCCTAGGAATGGGAAGACCGATATCGTCTTTGTAGGACATCGGGCTGAAAGTGAACGCTGACTCAAACATCGTTACATCAAACAACTCGAGAAGAATATCCTATCTTCATGTCGTCGCCTTACCATCTTGGAAAACTACTACAGGAAAAAAGACTACTACTGCTACAGGATTGGGTGCCAGACTACAATGACGAAAACGCTCGCCTGCTTGGAAGCGAAGGGCGTTGAGAACCTGAAGAAGACAGAATATCCCATCGTGTCACCTGGTCTGAACCCTTCACTGGGTTCTGGCGTAGCACAATATGGTGGTCTACAGGCGCGGAGAAATGAACACCTGGCTTCAGGCAGCGAGTCACGGTCGCATGGCAGAATCTCTCGATGGCGTTCGTCCAAAAGGCAGGGTGGATCTTTGTGATCGTGTGCAATGTTGAATTCTGGTGGATATATTCAATCAGAGTTTAATGAAGTGCGACGTATTTCGCTTTGAAAGTCGAGAAAAAAAAGGCGCCTCTTTTGGCCTAACCCTGTATGCTTATGTGGGGCCCAACAACGTGAAAAGCTTTTTGTGCAGAGCCTCATAATGAGATCGAATCCCAGAAGGACGTGTGATTTGTTCAGTCTAATCTGATTCAAGCCATTGACTATCTGCACATCCAGCAATCTCTCTGTCCCCTATGCTGTGCATAATAAGACCGGTTGGAAGGAGCTATGAAGAAAGAGAGCAGACGTTGCTTGTCTTCGCTATTTCCATTTTCATCGCTGATAATACGAAAAGATCCTGATTCTGCGAAACTTTTTCACCCATTTGCACCTGAAACACGCTGCTTTCAATAACATTATGAGTGTATCTTCAAGTGCACTTGGCTTCATATTAAAGGCAGTTGGCACGATAAGTCCCTGATAGGAGTACGATTAATACACATGACAGGACGGAATTCCTGAACAGGCGTTGCGTAGCGCCTTTTCCAAGGAAGGTACACTTATAAAGCCTTACCAAGCTACCACATATCGGCCCTCCCGCCCACAAATGGACAACCGTACCTGATGCTCGTATAGTTTCATTTGTCAAGTAAAATTGAAGCGAAGGGATGGGTTGAGGTGGCCACGGTACTGCGTGGATATATGCGTATATACGTACAGCCGTACCTACTGTAGCGGTTATTCCCACGATCCCCAAAATTCTTCCAAAACCCCTCTTTAAGTCATTGAGAAAGGAAGCTTTTCTTTGCAGGTTGTTGACCATTTCACTTCGTTCTTTCTCCATTTTCCCATTATATAGGGCCCTGGCATTTCAGGCCAAGCACCAAATTGTAGTGCCAATTGCCTTTGAGCAGCTCAGATTTAGTCAGGATGTCATGGAGACCCGTAACGTGGGGAAGCTTCTTACTTTGATCTTTACAATCTTCCCCTTCATTGGAGCTCCGTGATGCATCAGGTTACCGTCCTCAGCTTTGGCTCGTTCTCGTTTGCTCTATGAAAAATGTCAACGTTAATGTGTGGTTTCAATTTCAGAAAAGGTACAATTAGGAGAAGGCTTTCTAGATAACCGAAGGAAGCTCACTCGATCCTAAAAATCTAAAGAAATTGTTTGGCGTAGCTCAGCACAGCGCATATTTCGGTTTGGGAAGGGCACTGTCGACGGACATTGTTGGCAGTGCGACCGCGGCAAACAGTTACCATTCAGACAGAAACCTGATTAGCTTGTGCGCGAGAGATTGAACGAGGAGAGTGTTCACCTCCACCACCCAGGTTAGGCTGCGACCGCTTACCGCCTTTGCGCTCCTAAGAAATTCGGGAGCACTCCCGTACCTTGCGCTCCCAGGAAATACGAGAGCTCTCCAGCTCCTACGCCAGGATATCGTCCGCACTAACCGATAGGGATCGTGAGTTCGCCTATGACCTGTTTAGTATGGGGATTTGTGGATTCTATGTGGCCAGTCTTGGCTTGTTGCCTTTTGCGAGCTGAATCTCCTTACCCGATGGAGGTCTCCCAATAAGTTATGTGGAGATTCTATTGTGGGTCCCCTCCGTGGTGTGCGTTACCTACGCAGCCTTTGCGTACAAGCTGTGCTGTCGCATGGTTCGTTCAAATCATCGAAGGGATCTATCCCATTGCTACCCTCAACATCACACCGTGAATAATAGTAAATCCTTCGCTCCAACGACAACTTGTGTGACTACAGTAGTGCGACTCTGACATGTCGCGCGATTCAGCGCGCGGCAGTGTTGTGGCAGAGTGCGCGGCTACGATTAGAACATGCTCGTTTCCCCTTCGAATAGGCTCAAGTAAGCGAGTATTTAATATGAGTTTTCCCTAACTGAAATAAAGTTCCAGACAACACAGTGAATATTCCGATTTCATAATCTCAACTTGTGAATGATACCTCAGCATACTCCCTATCGTTGACGAATATACTACGTTCTTGACCATTATAGTCGAAATGGACTTGACGACGTCCTGTGTCATCCATTTCTCCGACACTGGTTAGACGAAGGTACAATACTTTCCCATAGTCCACTTCGATCTATATTAACAGTTGATGTGAACGAAATTGTAGAAGCCGTTTAAAGACAATTCCGGCGATCAAGTGTTACGGGTAGCAAGCGCTCAATCACGAACCAGTAGCCCAGTAGGGAAAGAAGCGAGAAAACGTTTGAGAGCACCCCGAACGATACCCCTGCAGTGAAGTCGGCGCCTTGACGAGTTTGTTGGAAGTCAGACAAGCCCAATCAGCAGGATTCGTAGTGCAGCCGGTTGCTGGCAAGAGCATAGGAAATCGCCCTACGACGCTCCAGGCAACACTATGTACACACGCGATTCCGTTTGCTAGCCGTTGTCTCTCAGAGTTACAGTACGCGCTTGCACCGGTTGCAAAACTCACGCCTTCTTAGCTTCATTATCTAGCCATTTCAAGTGACGAAAATGGTATATTCCCTGCGAGTGCGGACAACGAGCCAATGCACGGAGGCATTTCGCTGGTCATTTGAAAGCGGGAAGTGTCTTTAAAAAGCTGAAGAGTGCCTACATCTGTTTGTGAGAAGTCAGCTTCAAGTTAAGGGACTAGTATTACTTTGTTCCACGATGCTTGTCCGGTTTTCGACACTTCGCTACTTTTTAATTATCCCTCCCCTGATGAGCTCACAGTCAACAGGGTAATCTGCGGTAGGATCAGGATACCTCGGATACGCCTATCCGTGGCCTACCTGCCGGTATAACCCCTTATGACCATCCGTCATTGTGTAGGCATCAATATTGACCATAGAACAACCACGTCCACCGGGGCAGTAGTTGTTCTCTATTCGTTCTACTTTAGCCCCAACCTGCCGGCGATCTCGCAGGGCTTCGTGCCCCTTGAACATATCTTCGGGTCAAATCCTAGTTCAGCAGCCGTCCGACGGGGTGCGGGCGTGGGTTTGACTTGCCTCCTTTGTTTCACTAGCAAAAAAGTTCGATTGTTTGATGCTGTGGATTGGTTCAGTTCATCAAGAATGGCACTATCTTCTGTTCTTGCTCCTGGAAGGTCCCATCCTTAAGCTAATGCAGGGCTTCCTGCTTAGCTTACCCCATCCAGGTCCTCCGATCCGCAGCAATGGTCTCCAGTCACTGGGCAAAGAATGGACGGCTTCGTCACAGAACAAGGGAAGTTGACGACTGAGGAGTTTCGTCGTCGAGGTGCTTGGAGTTATTTGATCCTCCTCCCTATCAGATGTCGGGCAGAGCGGGAAGCAGGTGGGAACCCGATGGAGAAATAAATGTGCTATAGGCAGCCTGATTTTCTTTAGAATGCTGATGATTCAGCCTGGAAAGGGTGATACTGGGTCGCTCAAATCCTATCACCTTCCATCTTTCTTGCATGACACGTCGCTCACGAGCTCTAGAGGAATACAGGAAACGTAGAAGTCACAACCCCCGAAAAATCAAAGATCGACTTCCTGCTTCAGTTTGCTCGATGTGAAGCTTTGAATGTCCTTTACCTTTAGTCTATTCGAAGCAAGACCTTGGCAAAAAATCCGAACGACTGTCTAATCTGAATGACTGCACTTACTTCAAGTTCCTGATGGTGCTCAGGTCCTGCGAAAAACACGTCCGTTGGCAGTAGTTCAACTGGACCGTATTTGTCGCGGAATTTGATCATTCTATCGAACTCCTCCGGGAACAAAATGGATGACATAGCGACGCGATCACTGAAATATGATCGACTTTTCGTGAGAGGCTGACTGAGCTACCTACCATCGATGCTGCACCCTGCAGGTTCACCCTGCGCCATTTCCATCTAATCGGATCTCGTGAAGCTGACCTAACCTGACCAGTATTGGGGATGGAACTGTTTATAACTACAGGACTTGTAAAAGATGAAACTGTAATGTGGCGGCGTGGTCAAGTCCACTTGAGGGAGAACTGCACATTCCACCACAATTTGCAATCGTAATGAAGCATAAGGGTTTGGTACCCTGGGAATCGGATAAAAAGCGAATTTCGAGAACCGTACGGGAGCTCAGAAGAAGAATTGTAATGTGTTCCTGTGATAAATTTGTTGAGGGAATTCATAGCTCACCTGAAATGTTGTTGATGTTTGTGTTCGAGACATCTCTTTTCGTGGTGGAGATCTATCGACTTCAGGGATGCTCCTGGGCGTCCTGTGATTGGCTTCTTCCCCCGAAGGACCTTAACAAATAATTTTCTATCGACTCCAGGAAGGCTACTGGAACTAAGAGCAGCGGGTTTGTAAGCGGAAAGAAGCAACTACTGAGAGTACCTTTTCTTGCAAGGTTTTAGGAAAGCCGTAGGTGGGTTGTCCCAGTTTTCCCTGGAATTAGCGTCTATAAGTGGAAACAGTACTTCGATTTTTTTAGCCGTAGGCTGAGCTTCACTGAAGCGAAAAAGCTGGGAGAATGGAAGATGAACACATCAGAGTCAACGGTGAGGAGGATTTGACAGCGTTCCACTATTGATTCTCCTCACGAGGAACTGGGGAAATCAGAGCCCACCTCAAAAAAGTCCTGGACACTTTTTGGTAGTGGATACTTTTCGGCGTTTTTCTCCAGTTCTTCACTCGAACTGATGCCATGTTGAGTCATGAATAGCGCCAAATCACCAACGACTTTCGATGATGGGGCCACCTGAACAGCGATTTCGGTGAGTCACCTTTCGAACCATTCCCCTTGTACTCTCTGTCCACCATAATGCCGGTGCAGTCACAAATGTTCTGGACTTTGAGCTTTCCCCGCGCTCACGGCCGAATTTCCAACAACGCTTCTTCTTAACTAGTATTCCCCAGTTTTATATTTATTAGATTGATGAACTAAGAATCCGGTTTACCTTGATGATGTCTCCTAGAGCCTTATTCGCTTCTGCATAGTTTTTGCAGACCAGTGGAAACTTTTCGAGGAGATTCAAAGATGAAGACTGAAATATAATAAATGAACATAGATTGTACACGGAAATATTCCTGGGACGACAACTTAGCATAACTGGAGTGGATTTTATTCAGTTAACACGAGTGTTAGTTAGCCAGAATCAACTGATCCGATTCAATCAAGGCTGTTTCGGCACGAAGTTTATCGAAGCAGCGAGAAGAGTTTAAGATGTTGTCATGTCTCATATTCATCGACCTGAGGAAGGCCTGTGACTTCGATGAGCCAGAAGCGGTTATCGAAGCTTTGAAAAAGCAGGGTACGGGATGTACCTACCCAGTAAGCAAAGATAGTGCTCTAGGCAGCAACTTCACAATAGGAATTATTAGGGTGTCCACAAAGTTCGTTGGCCATTTGTAAACAGCGTCGCGTTACGCAACGCGTTGTGATTTTGCATAATGATTTCGCAATACTGAAAGTACTCGCGATGGGCTATCTTCTGAGCTAGCTAGCTCTAAATTTCCTTTCCTGATCTTTCCACAATAAAGCAGTGAAGATGAGTGATAGTTGCTGGACTACTACAATCTGGACATCTCCAGACGTCAGGCCACGACCAGGATGCGTCAGCAGTTTGGTGATAACACCCCTTCTAAGAACTGGATGTCAAAATGGTGGACTCGCTTCACCAAT